GGGAAAGAGAAGCTAGCAAAGTTTGTGCCTGTGTATAAGGGAATCAAACACTATAAATGCTATTTGTTTTTAAAAGGTGGCTTTCCGTGTATATGTGTCACATATGTCAAGTTACACTCCTGCTTCAAATGTCTTTCAGGGCAGAATTGAAACCTTTGGAGACTGTTGCTCCTTTACAGGGTTGAAGTACTGTTTGAAAGCATTAATTCTGTGAAACACTTTGGATACAGTTTTTTCCCTTGCCCTTATGTCCACATACTTTTATTTATAATCCCTTCCCTTGATAAAAGCAGTAAGCACTACTGCCTTCATAGTATGCAAAAAAGGATACTACTGTTTTCACTAATACTTTGAATCTTGGAAATTATGTAAGCATTAAAGACTGTAAAATCTTTTCCCTTCCTTGTTCTACAAAGTATGGATGTGGAACTTGATGCAGTGGGAATACTGAATTCACGGTCTGAGATGTAATGTTACTATGGCTATCATTCTTAATTAAACTGTGTTCATCATAGTCTTTATTTCTGTGGACTGTTATTTCAAAAAGCTGAAGTTGCAGAGATATTTCCATTGTTTTGTCTCTGGGGATTGAAATAGAATTGCTCTATTTCTCAACTTTTTAATCATCTTCCTTTTAGTAAGTATTATGTAGCATCAGTCTACTCCCACCTCATGCAGCCCCTTCTCCCTTCTGGAGCTTCAGCTCCCTATGATTCAGGACCAAGTTTTTCTGTACAGCTTGAGGAAATTGCTAAGTTCCTGGATAGAGCTGGGGTGTATGTAGAATAGAAACAGGCACAATAAAGGTAAACACGCAGACAGAGGTAAGATCTTGTTTGAGATGCAGATGCAAGAATAAAAAAAACTAACAGCAATGTGAATTATTTAAATGAAACTCCAAAGGAAAAACTAACCTGCTGGATGGCAACTCATCAACACCTGGATTGGGGTAACCATACTAACACTTAAGTCTTGTAGCTCATTAAATCCTAGTTGTCTTTTGTTTACAACGTGGATCACTTGTCACTGCCTTTGCATGTGACAAGAGGTAGCCCAAGCAACACCAAGGGGAGGTAAGGGTTGCACTCATCAGAAATTCCC